TTTTAAAAGAGTTATGACAATTTAGATCTTTATAGAAATTCTAATCTGACCTAGAAATGTCCTGGAACATCCAAATTTTGGCATTTTTTTTCCACCAGATAAATAAAATCATTTGTTAAAAAACTGATTACTAGGTCCGAAAAGCACTTCTTATATTGTCCAATGTCCATCTGTCTTCCATATTCGCAATGTTTATATCCTTGTTTCCCATTAAAGCTTACCACACAATTCTTTATTCAGAGCAAACGAGGTTATTGAAAATAATAAACAGACATAAATGACAATGGGATCCTGAAATTCATTTTCCCCTTCTATGCTTCAAATAGTTTCTTCAAAGAAAAAACTGAGATTTATATAGGTTCAGAGATTTTTCCAACCTGTTTTCTATGCTTGTTTTCTCTTTCTGAAACTTTTGTGGTAGGAAAATCATCTATCTGAGCAGTTTTAGAAAAGCCCTGTGCCCCAAGGAAAAATGGAATGGACCCAGACGTTAAATTTACGACTCATATTTCTAACTACCAGAGCTCTATTTCAGTGGAAAAGCTAGTATTTTAGTGTCGCAAATGATTTTTTATTTATTTAAAAGAATAGATTGTTTTTGACAGGTAAAGCTGACACAGAATGCAAATTTACCAACATATTAACCATCACTTTTTCATTTTTCTCAACTGACTCCTGACACTAATACAAGTATACCTAACTTCTTGACAAAGATTTAAGGTAAAACCTATCTCCTACCACTGCATTTTCACTTAGAAACCAGGGAATAACTTAGCTTTCAGCATAGATTTTCTAGTTGACTGAAAATACATGAATTTATTCTCCATGAATATCCTAAGAATCAAAAATCTAACAGTAAACATGTTACTTATAAAACCACACAAAGAGATCTAGAAAGAGGCATAACACATTTGATAATATTAAATTAAGAGGGTTAAATATGGAGTATCTTGATGCTACATGCTGAAAGAGAAATAAATGGAGATTGCTGTAGGGTAGTGTGGGGGAAAAAATACAGCAATCATATGTCTCAAGCTTTTCAAGGTAGTCTTAATTCTAAATATTTACTCCTGTATCCTCAATTTTTAAAAGAGAATAATGTCATGTCATGGCAGGATAAGCACATTACCAGAACTAATGTTGTAGTAATTTACAGGGCAAAAACGATGACTGGGACATAATAAAAACATTACCCCAAATTTAACTCCCTTTTACCTCTCAGTCCCTGTATTCATCACAAGTCTTTTGATTGTCTAAAGAATCCAGTGCTGTCACCTTGGATTTTTGTGGATATTAGTTTAATTCCTGCTTTTGCTCTTTCTATCTCACGCCTAAACCCATGACCAACTTACCACCATAATCACTTTCTTCTAGCTTCTCTCTCCCTCCATTACCTTCACTGAGACTTGGTTTTGGCCTAAGGAATTGCATTCCCTGCAGCTCTCTCAGGCTTCTACTCTTCTTTCTCCCTTGCCCCACCTTGCCTCAGGATTAAGAAGTGAGCTCCAGGCCTTTCTTGCTCTCTATCTCCTATTCCCCAGTATTATCAAGAATCTATGTACTAAAAGATGCTCCCCCATTTTTTATAGAGAATTTCTATAAAGATTTAAACTGCCATAACTCCTTTATGTTTCACTTACAAGTGAAAATAATTGCTGGTAACCTTTTTCTCCAGAATTTATGGCAGTAAAATATTGTACACTGAAAATATTCTATGATACTAAAGGGCTACTTTAGAGGAAGTGTTAAAGAAGCTAGGAAGGTGTGTCAGAATAGAATTCTTCAGTGAGTGATTCTGGAGCCAAGGGCAGTTTAGATGACCAAAAACTCACATGAAGTGACACAGGTCACTGGAGGTGAGGGGTCAGAAGTCAAATGAGTGTGGCACAGGTTGAGGTGTTAGCTTACCAGGCATTCTCAAAGCAGGACCCGCAGGCCACGCAGAGCCCACGTGCAGCCCACGTGCGGCCGCCTGGGACATTTAGCTGGCAGCCAGTGTTTTTGCCACAGTTGCCTGTCCTGCTTAGCAGCTGACTTGTCCCAGGGCCTGCAGTCTGGCCCTCCAATGGTCTGAGGGACAGTGAACTGGCCCCTTGTTTAAAAAGTCTGAGGACCCCTGGCTTAGACAATATGAGGGAGGAAAGGTAAGAACTTCCTATATAAATATAGGAAGATTTATAGATGTATAGGCAAGAATTTGAAGACTCTTCTGAGGGCTCCTACTTATTTTGTTCAAGTAGAAGTCATCTACTTGGAGAAAAGAGAAATATGGATAGTTTGGAGGTATCAGGAGAGGATATGAGACTTGAAATAATCATTGTGAAGAATGTTCTAATGGTTGATCAGGGGAACAGTAGGAGTGTTATGGAATGGCCAGAGCACAGCTGAGACTAGTTACTACTATGTTGTAGCCGGTTCATCTGATACCATCTACTAACTCAGTTACATACTTTAGAATAACATCAGAATCACCTGGAATGCTTATTAAACACAGATTGAACCAGTTTCCCAGAGTGTCTTATGGAGGAAGTCTGCAATGTGACCTGAGAGTTTTCATTTCTAACAAGGTCCATGGGATATTGCTGCTGCTGGTTCAGGGAACACACTTAGAGAACCACTCTAAGTTTTTCTTCTTTCTAATACTTCTAGCTCTCAAATCCCTGGATCTGGTATGTTTCACTTTTTGAAAGTGCATCCTGAAAGCAATTTAGACAGAATTTACTAATTCATCACATCACCTTCCTGGTTCTCCAAATTCCTTTAAGATGTTGTCAATAAACTCAACCATCTGATATTATCCACAACGTATTTAATATACTCACAATAAACTTAACCATCAGCATTATTCACAATGTATTCCAAATAATCCTCCTTTCTAGTTAGCCATTTCCTTCATGTTTCATGCAATTCTCCATCCATCACTACTATTCATGGCTAAAGAACTTTATAAAGTTTCCTGGGTTCTGATCCAAACTGTTGTCTTCCTTTACTGAACTACTGCACTAGGAGTCTTTATCACCTATTTTTGCCTTTTAATAATTTTGAACAATTCTCATTTATCTATATAATCCAATAGTAAGCTACCTGATGAGAAAAGTCAGGCCTTTATACGTTATATATCTCCCACAAAGTTGGAAGGAGATATATAACATATAAAGTACTATAGTACTCATATAAAGTACTTACAGGCACTCACTGGATTTTGATTGTATGTAATTCTTACTTGTATATAAAGATTATATAAAATAAACTGAAAGTTACTATCAATTATATGTTCCTATATATTTCTACATAAAAATCAAAAACATAATCCCCTTATTAGACTATAAAGTAAATTTTAAGAAGTCTTGAATGTATGTCAAAAGCAGTGTGGAAAAACGGCAAAAAAATTTTAGGTGAATAGGTCATGTTGTTTCTTAGTGTCCTAATATAGTTTGAGTATTATTTTTTTATAAAGCAGAAAAACCTTGAAGGCTTTTCTTCATGGTAATACAAGGAAATAATTTTCCTATTTGGTTAAATTGCACTGAAGAGTATAAAATAATGTGAGAGGTTTCTTTTTTTTGTAGAGACAGAGTTTTACTTTATGGCCCTCAGTAAACTGCCGTGGCGTCACACAGCTCACAGCAACCAACCTCCAATGCCTGGGCTTATGCTATTCTCTTGCCTCAGCCTCCCGAGTAGTTGGGACTACAGGTGCCTGCCACAACACCTGGATGTTTTTGTTGCAGTTTGGCTGGGGCCGGGTTTGAACCTGCCACCCTTGGTATGGGGCTGGCACCCTACCCACTGAGCCACAGGTGCCGCCCTTATGTGAGAGGTTTCTATTGAACAGAAATTTTATATCTATGCAGTTTAATTTTCATATTCAAACTAAAGTCAGAATCAGAATTTCTTCTACTTTAGTCTTATTCTTTACTTTCTAATAGTTATATTGCCCGAAACATAATAATCTTTCTATGTTATCACTGTAACTGTTCCTGTTATATACCTGCCTTATTTCAATATTACAGATATCAGGCCTATAAGATTCTTAAAAATCTTGCTCAGAAACATATTCCTTCATTTGAATTATAAACCAAATACACACATTCTATTAGTTTCCAGCAAAGATTAAATGTGAATAGTCAATCAACAATTGCCAAGTATGGATAAGACAGAAAATGAGAATTAAATTCATATTTTTACTTTTTCATTTTTAATTTTTCAAATAAAATTAAGATTTATTGTGTCTTACTGAGGGGAACAACAATAAAATAATAAAGGTTTGTTTTCATACTTTTTTGGTGTCTTTAGAAACTTTGCTCAAAATAGCTTGATAGTGACGACAGAAAAATTTCTGGATTTTCTGTCTTTTTTCAAAACACTGGACTACTAGAAAAAAACCCAAGTCGTGATGTGGTTCTTCTAAGTTTTACACTTTCTTGGCCATGTAACTCTCTTTACCTTTAAGTAGTATGGCTTTGTCTTTGCATAATACTGGGCCTCCAGAAAATTATGGATAAATTATCTTTAGAGGTAAGCATGGGAAAGATAGATTAATCAGAAATTTTGCAGAGATAATCTCTTTACAAAAAATGCCCTACATATAGAATCTGATATATCATGAGGCTAAAACTATCCAATACCAGCATGCTTCCTTTTTCTCCTAACTAAATCAACAGAATAGCTACTGTTAATCGAATGGGGACCCAATGTTCAGGTGGAAAGCAGAAAGTCTCTCTGTACACTGAAGTTGCCTTTATTCACTGCTCTTTTCATTTTTGGTTTATTTGATTACATTTTCTCAACAAAGCAGGATACCTCTGAAAATCAATGGAACTTCCAGAAAAAGTTTGCAACTCACTTGTCATTCCTGTCATTTTCTATTGTTCTACTGAAACTATGTTAGGCGAAATTCCTACAAGCTTTGTGCAAGAGTCTTGTAAGACAACTAAAAAAGTCAATTACAATGCTACTAAAAAAATAAGATAATCACACAAAACAAGTTAACCACATACCAACTGCTGTCATGTAATCCCACCGATCAATGAGGCACATATTGAAGATGAGGTGATCGGAAGTTTGCCCCTGGCCAATAAGTGAAATCTGCCTCTCCAAATTCTGGCATACTGATGAAGTCCAGCCAATGAGAAACCAAAACACTACCAAGAGTATTACTGCCAGCATCCTCATGACCCGGCCACCAGTCATGTACGGAATTCGTTGGGCTGTTCGTGAAAGAAACACCTTCAAAACCCTAGAAAAAAGCAAAAGTTCACAATGTGAAGAAAAATCTAACACTCAGAAAGCAAAATTCTAAAATTTAAACCCACTGAAATCCACTTATGTAGAGTTCTGTTTTTGTTTTGTTTTAGAGAGAGGATGTTGCTCTGTCAAGCAGGATGGAATGCAGTGGCCTGATCATAGTTTCGCTGCAGCCTTGAACATCTGGGGCACAAGTGATCCTCTGCCTCAGCCTCCAAGTAGCTGGGGCTACAGGTGCACATCACCAAACCCAGCTGATGCAGTTTTAACATGAGAAAAAAACAAGAAACAATACTGCTCACGTTTTTATTTAATTTCCTTTTAGTTCATCTTCCAAAAGCAAAACAAATAACCAATATTAGAGATTATTGAGTCAATAGGTTCATGCATAATGGAATTCTTTTGAGCATGTCTGAATATTTTAAGTAAAATGCTCAGGACTGTAGAAAGATTAGCAGGCAAACACTGTCCAGCTTCTAAGGGTTAAAGAAATACTCCTTAAATAAGTACCTGGATTTTACAATATTATATTAAGTGTAAAACTTTCTTTAATCAGTTGCTTTTACAGTAGAATGTTATTAAAGTTATATTCTGAAGATCATTTCGTAGTACCTCCCTGTATAGTCATTTTATCATGTGACTGATAAATAATAATGAAATAATTATAAAAACAATGTGAGGAAAATTTAAACACTAGCCTAACTGAATAAGGTCAATGCATTAAGGAACAAGATCAGGATGACCTATACGAAATGTGATTTTTAAAAATGGAAGAGTTTTTTCTATATATCTCAGATGAATAGTAATGGCTGGGAATTACTGAATTAGATACCTAAAAATTATTTCATCTCTTAAGTATTTTATGAAGACAAAATCCAACCTTACCATAGGGATCCTCCATCCACCTAATCTTCAATTTCATCTCTAGAGTATTCTCAGCTGATTTTAAGGCCCCATACCCATTTTGAAATTTTATGTCACAAAATTATGATTGGACATAAACCAACATGAGTGGTTTACAATACTATGAGAGTATCCATAGTCAATTTCCATACAGCAAAAATAAATGGATTTTCCCAACTTTATATTCCCTTCTTTAATTCATTTTTTCAACAATTTTTAATAAAAATCACTATAAATCCAGAAACAAGGCAAATACACCTGAAATAGCCTAGATGTATTATGCTATATTTTCTTCCCTGTATATAAATTTTTGGTAACTCTACTTGAATTAACACATAAAGTTATTTTGTAACAGATTCTTATTTATGTCCCCCTCAATATCTTTAATCCTATTGTCCTTCAGTTAACCCAGGAGGTGAAGTTATTTAATTATGAAATACGTGTGTCTTCAATTTTTCTGTAGAACTATGTTAGAAGGGTAGTACTACCAAATAAGGGTACAAGAGAAGATCTCTTAACCACCCTCCATTTACCTTATTCCCCAGATTAATGGTTAGTCTCACTGGAATGCTGCCCAGTGTCATGGTGAATGTTAACACTAGCAGGTAAGTTGCATTAGTTTTAATACACTTCAAGCACTTTTGTTCCAGTCAGTTTAATTGCTATTTGTTATGAATCAGTTGTATTTGTTTCCAAATTATGCCCATTGTTATCATATTATATAATTTATAAACATTAAATAATTATTTATTATTGAGAAACAAAAGGATATTTGTGTAAAATCTATCTTGAATGCTTTGGGAAGATTAAAATAAGACATTAAATAAAATGTCAACTTAGAAGAAAATGGAGAAATTTGAATAAGTAGGAGTGATTCCTAAACATAAAAAGCTAGAAAGATTCTACACTCAGATTATTTCAAAAAAAACTGTTAGATTCTCACTTATTTTTCAAGAACCAACACTGTGAACAGAGTGTAACTATTTCAACACAAGGAGGTAGATAATGCATTTTGCTGATTTATGCTAGAAAGAGAACAATAAACTCTACACATAAAATTCACAGTCCCCTAAAAGGCTTTATTTTAAAAAAAAATGGTGAATGATTATTTGTGTATTTTAAGTTAATAGTGTCTATACACTTTTTAAATGCCTTTCTGCTTTAAAAAGCTTTATCAATGAATGGGCCATTTACTAATCCCATTATATTGGGTAAGAAGGCTTTCATTGTAATTAGCAGACAAAAGATTCAAGAATTCTCCCTTAGACCTGAGAGAAATTTCCTGAAATATTAATGCTTTTGTGAGTTCCAATCTCATTTTTTGCTGGAGAAACTTGCATCATCGTGTATACACAATTGTTTCTAGTTGTACACCTGGATAAACTCTAAATTTTGAATGATGAGGATCTCAACAGAGAACATGACCCATTTTTCTGGTCTTCTATACTTTGGCCTTCTACATTTCTATACTTAAGACATAAAAAGAGAAAATTGTTCCAAATTCAATTTTCACTCTTAATTTCAATGCTAGAAATATAATTATAAATATAATTGCAATGAACAACCATTTATAGAATGACAACCACGATGTTAGGCATCATGCTAGGCAACAAGGAAGGCATAAGATATGATTCTTGCTTTCTAGAAGAACCTAACAATCTAACTAGAAATAACTTTGCATAAATCTCTAGGCTTAACTTGAAAAAAGTTTGCAAATAGCTACTGTATGAAATAGCATATATTATGTACTGTATGTTACTAGTATGTCTAACCTAACAGAATGGGTGGTATTTGATCTGGACCTTGATATATATCAATAGTGGAAATGAAAAATCATGATTAAGCTATCAGGACATAGTGTAGTTTCATTAAAGGGAACCATATAACAAAGAAAAAAGCAGGAAAATGTAGGTTGTCTTTAGGGATAGTGGCTGGAACTGCTTGGCAGGAAGGGAAGTTTGGTCCTCAATACTCAGAAACTCCCAGGGAGTTTTCAAGTTACTGTGAAGAATTTCCATTGGGTTGAGAAACAGTGATTCAGAGAGAAATGGTTATGATCTATATTTCCTTTCTATGGCTAAGATGTAGAAAACAATTTATTTTCTGACACTGGAAAGTTTTCACAATCCTCACTGAAATTCTAAATCTCAAAGAAAGCCAATAATGAACTTGTTAAATAACTGTCTACTTAAAAAACTTCTTACTTAGATATCTGAGGTTTGTCTTTTGCAGAGGAAATCTATACAGTTCCACTTTGGTACTTTTTAAATAAAGAAATTCCAAATGATCAGAAATATTCATGTTTTCCAGATAACCCTTTGGGTATTTGTTGTAGAGGCTAACTGAGAATTCGGGATTGTCATAAATCTCCTATCTCATTTCTAGAGACCAAAATCAAAGCAAAATTCCTCATGAGTCTCCCATTATTGATTTTACTGGCTTTCAAGTAATAGGAAAAGTAATAATACAACTCTGCACTTGAAGTGTTTCAGAATATTGGTTTTTGCAAAATGGAGTAAGATGCATTTTTCTAGGATTGCCTCAAGTAAAATGAGGAAACTCTGTTATATTTGAAAAAAATGAATTCTTCTTAGCTTATATAAATTTGCTCCTAGAAATCAAGTTATAAAAAAGAATACCTAGACATGCATTTGTGTAAGATATAACTGGAGAAAAAGACTATGATCATTAGACTTCCTAAATAGATGACTTTTCCACTAGATACTGCCATCTAGGTCAGTGGTTCCCAAACCAGTAGCATCAATTTTGTTACAGACTAAGATTCTTAGATCCTATCCTGACCTACTGAGTCATACAGGAGGGAAGGCCAAACCCTTCATGTAATTCTGAGGAAGCCTAAAAGTTTAAGAGCTACTGCTCTAAACAAATTTTCCCAAGAGGTCTAAGATTGGGGCAGGTGCCTTTCCAATAGGCTGACTGCTCTATAGGACAGCCTGCCAGATAAGTTTTTGGGTTTTTATTATGCTGACACCAGAATGTAAAGCTTCTGTCAATAGAAAGTTTTCCATTTTCCAGAACACTTGCATGTGGTTCTGATTTTATAGCATCTCTTTTGTTTATAAAAAAGGATGAAAATATACATCTTCCATCCACCCACTCTTCTGTTTTTAATTGGAATAATCCTAATGTCCTGAAGTGTTCCATTCAAATCTAATTTCTACTAATCTTACTGCCTTCACAGAAATTCCAGAGAACAAAGGCTTGAGATAAAAGGTATAAGGTAATGGTTACCTCTTGTAAAATAAAGCCACTCAATTGTTGAGAAAGAACCTTGAGAGTAAACCATATAAAAAGGCTGGCTGGAGCTTACTGCTAATTGTTTTGCTTTCAATGGTGAAGCTTTTCATCAATTTCTCAAAATTTCATTTTTAGAAGTAAACTAAAGCTACTTCTTGGTCAGAGGACAAATTTCAAATATGTATTTTTTAAAAAGTTGGCATCACCTGGATGGAAATAGGTTTGAATAGATATGAAATTCAGCAAGATTGTTATGAGTATATTAGGTTATTAACATTACAAAAAAGAAAGTTCTGGATTTCTCAAACATATTGACAAGTATTTTTGTCAATTTCAGTGGGCTGCTTAAGTTCCCAGAGCTTATTGTTCGTTCTTTCTTTCTTTCTTATCTAATTACAGACCAATAGAAGTAGGAACGAAGAAAAAAAAGAAAGGAAGAGAAGGTGCAAGACTGTTACAAGTCAAATCTTCGATGGTTAGAGTTAAAAAGAACTTTGGGGATTCTATAGTCGAATCCTATTAATATGTGTAAAAAGTTCTGAGGCCCAGGGAGAGAAGCCATTTATCTAAAGTAACATAGTGAGTAGCAGAACCACTGCAAAACTCTTATCTTCTTATTATCACTTGAGCAGTTTTTTCAGTTTTAATATTTTACCAATATAACACTTAGCTGGCTTAGGGCCATATCATCTTTACAAAGCACAGCATGAACCTGACTCTCTAAACATGCCACGTCTTCTCTACTTTCCCATGTATACCACTGCTTTGGTGTAAACTGATTAAAGTCCTACTTATCCCTGTAGATTCATATTAATAATTTCACTCTATTTA